CCAGCTGCAGTCTCACCAGTGATGAGTAGAGCAGAAGAATGACCTCCTTGGCTTTGCTGGAGATGCACTGACTAATGCATACCAGAATATTATTTGCCCTGATGGCTACAGCATCGCACTTCTAGCTCTCATTCATACTGTGGTCTATTATTACCCCCAGGTCCCTTTCCTTCGTGGTGTTAGTCAGTTTGGTGCTGCCAAGGCTGTAGGTGTGTTGGGGGTTGCTTGTCCGAAGGTCGAGGACTCTACATTTCTCAACGTTGAATTTTATCAGATTCTGATTCGCCCAACTTGCTAGCCTGTCTAGGTCCACCTGTATCTGTAGCCTATCTTCAAGTGGGACTATGCTCCCCCATAACTTGATGTCATCCATGAACTTGAGTAGTGAGCTCTTCACCCCCACATCCAAATCATTATAAACACATTGAAAAGTACTGGACCGAGCACCAACCTCTGCAGGACACCACTGCCCGCTTCTCGCCAGGATGACACAGATCCATTCACTACGACTCTCTGGGTCCTATCCTGCAACCAGTTTCTCACCCACCTGACTGTCTCAGAGTTAAGCCCACAATCCTCCAACTTTCTCGTGAGGACATTGTGGGATACTAGATCAAAGGCCTTTTGGAAGTCAAGGTATACAATGTCAACCTGCTGTCTTGTGTCCAGGTGGTGAGTTAGCTGGTCATAGAAGGAGATGAGGTTGGTAAGGCAAGACGTGCCTGTGACGAAGCCATGCTGACTTTCCTTCAGAATCTTACCTTCTGCAACCTTATTGCAGATAGGCTCCTTGATGAGCTTTTCTAGGATTTTCCCTAGGATGGAAGTTAGGCTGATTGGCCTATAGTTATCTGGGTCCTCCCTCCTGCCCATCTTGTGGATGGGCACAGCACTGGCCCTCTTCCAGTCCTCAGTGACTTCTCCAGATACCACGAGTTGTGGAAGAGTTTTGCCAGGGGTTCAGCAATGACATCAGGCAGCTCCTTCAGCACTCTTGGATGAAGATCATCCGGTCCCACTGAGGTGTATACATCTAATTTTTTTAATTGGTCATTTACCAGTTCTATGGCAATAGTAGGAAGGCAATTATTCCTACCGTGCTCATCCTCTGCTCTACCTGGTGTGGTTTTCCCCTTGGTCCAGTGAAAGACTGAGGCGAAATACCCATTCAGGAGTTCAGCTTTCTCCTGGATGCCAGTAACTAGCTCTCCTGAGTTGGTAAGCAATGGCCCCACACTCCATTATCCAACAGGGCAGTCCTTCTGGTTCCTACACAAAGGTCTTAAAGTACTTCCTTACGTTAGAAGGCTACTTCATCTTCAGGAATGTTAGCTATCTTATCTTCTAGGAGCTGGAGGGCATCGTAAAATGGAAGTCTTAATTCACCTAAAACTTGGTGGCTTAACCAGCCGCTATGCAAATATACTGTATGTATGTGTTTTGCAAATGCTTAGCCAGGTGTTGGGCAGATAGATTTCATTTTAATCAGGGCAGGAAGCTATAGTTGATGATAAAGGATAACAGCCCTAAGGGCAACTTTTCAGGAGAAATACAGCATTAGAAAGTGGAAAACCTGGGTAGGCCTCCTTTTTTTCTCCCAGGCCTCTTTTTTTCTACCACAGATACTCAGAGACACCTATAGCTCTGATCACATTATAGTGATTTTTAGTGGGCCTGGGCTTTTGCTTGGGGCCTTTCAAAGTCTTCTGCAGAGCAGCCCAAGTAAGTGAAATGTGTTCTTCACCCACTTTTGGGGCCTGCAGCTGAGATTTCATAGCCTTTCCTTTCAACACCTTTTAGGCTGCCAAAAAGACCTCCACAGATACAGACAGATATCTGAGAATTGGAGCAGAGCTGCATTATTGAGAAGGGTGGTATAGGTGAGTGCACATGTTCAGTGGGATAAGTTAAACATTCTCTTATTTTTTGCTTCTGTAGCTTAACAAATGCTATACAGGAGTTAGATATTCTGCTAGAAAGAATAGTAGTGAAACAGCAAGGTCAGCCTTGGGTTTTGGGGTTTCCTTGTGTTGTAATCTGAGGGCTTCCGACACCTTAATCAGACTTTAATTACATTACAAATACAGCAGCCTTTAGAGATTAGAAGAGAGAGAAGATTGGTGGTCTGTTGTCCACACCAAAAGAAGACCAAGTATTAGATTTGTAGGACTAGATGTGTTGTCATTCTGAATGCACTTATTTGAAAGTGTGGTTTTGTGTAAAAGTTGAAAAATTTCTCTTCTATTCATAAAAATAATTGCCTCAAGTCTTTCATATTAGAGTTTATTAATCTTTTCTTTGTTTTCTTTTCATTCATTTTCAATTTTACCCCATACAGGGATTAGAAAATAATAAGGCAGGTTGACAGGTTTTTTGAAGCGGATTTCTCTGCTCTTTCAAGATCAAGCCTTCCATTTCTAGCAACTGTACTCACATCTCAGACATTATCCAGTGAACTGTAGGAGCACCCTAAGAATGAGGAAACAAAAGGACAAAATCTATTGTAAGCTATACACTTAGAGGCTCCAGTTTGTATGGAAACTTCGTGTTCCTCATGTTAAGAACGCACTGAAGTAATACCAGAAAAGGAGCCTCTTAGGGAAAGAAAAAAACAAGAAACATTTGTGTAAACCAGTCAACACAGAGCACGTTTGTTTTTCCAGCCTTTTGACAGGGTTACAGGACAGTGTAATCTCTAATCTAAAGAAAAACACCTGTTTTTCAGGACTAAAAGCAAAATTATTTAAAGAATAGATTTATGGTGCTCTAGTTTAAAACTTGGTCCAAGTTTCAGTTTTTTTCTACAGAGTTAGCCATAGATTAAGATAAAATACCAGCTGGAGGTCTTGGTATGTCTAATACAGTATACTACATTTGTCTTCATTGTGATTACTTTTACTTTCCACCCGGTTTTTATTTCTCCTTTTCCATAACATTGCGTGCCCTCACTGCAGAATCACAACAGCCATTCACCCCAAGTTTCCAGTTCTTTTCCATGAATAATTTAGCAATGGGTGTTATGCTAGTGGTTTCCCCTGAGGCAATGCAGTGCAACGTATTCAAGCTGCTCCAGCCTCCTTTTACTGACAGTGTTGCTAGTTTTTGGTATGCAGCAGGTTTTGCATGGGAGGGAGAGTTCTAAGTAACTATAAAAGATTCCTACATTTATTTTCAAACACTCACCATTTTAAGAATATTACAGATACCCCAATTTCTTAAATAGCAGTTCAGTTCATGATAAAAAACAACAACTGTAGTTATAGGTCCCAGAAGCACCCAAAAATGGCTGGCCTGGTCCTCTCAGACAATGGCTCATTGTAGTGGAAAATCTCTGGAAGACTAGGCTAATCTCTTCCAAAAAGTTTCTTGCAAAGACTGTGTACTCTGTTCAGTGCCCAATATGGAATGTGGGGGTCCCTGCATTGCTATGGTTTTCTTCAGAAATTTAGCTTTCATTAACTTACAATAAACTCTGCATTTTAGATGAACATGCACAGTGTCTTGATGTGCACATTTAATCTGTTTGCAGTTTCTGAAGTTGTGGTAAGATGGTGAAGAACGGTGACAGTGACTTCACAAATCAGACTTTGAGGAAGGTCTTAATGTATTAATGTTCTACTGGGAAAGTATTGTCAAAGTGCCTTGGTTTTTATTAAAGGCACATAAAGCATCTTCCAATATATGCGAAGCTACCAAAAATACCAGTATTTGTTTTTTATGACAGTCAGCTATATTTTGAACGTTATTTTTCTTAGCCATACCCTTGAAGGTTAAAGATTAATAAGCACTGATATACCACACATTTAAAAAAAAAAAAAACTGAAACGAAACAACACCCACTGTATTTGTATTACAGTGTTACTTAAAAACCACAACCAATTTCAGGGGTGGCCACCCTACAGCGCATGTGCCACAAGTGGCATGGGCAGATCAGAGAGAGAACAGGCAGCACAAAGCAGGTCAGGAGCCAGAAAGCAGAGCAGTAGATGACACAGGGTACACGAGGAAAACAGTGGAAAGCAGAACAGGAAATTGGGTGGGGAGCACAGAGTATGGTGCAAAACGCAGAGCAGCAGATCAGGGGGATTGGAGTGGCTCTCAGGGACAATGCATAGCTAATTTGTGGCATGCCTGCCAAAAAGGTTGGCCCCCACTGACCAAGATCATGATTGGTACTGTAAAAGTAAACTCTGCCATGAAAAGTTTATATTCTAAATAGAAAAGCTAGAGATTAGGAGACAGGAGAATTATCCCTGCTCTGCAAGAAGGAAATTGAGGAGCCAAGAAAAGAAATGGCTTACCTGAGTCCACACAGCAGTGCTGCAGCAGAGCCAGGAAAAGGACCAAAATCTTCTCCACTCCAGTTTCAGCGACAACTGTTTGTGTATTATGGCATCTGGATGATGTGGGCTTGCAAATAATGAAAAGTAATGTTGCTTCAGCCTTCATTTTAAGGCTGAAATGTGCAGACAAAACGCACACTATTTGATACATTTTGTTGGTATGTTGGGTAAAATTGCTTTATACTTCTTTATTATTATTCCTGAATTTTCTGTGCCTCTTATTTCTGGTATTTCCTGTGCCTCTTTATCTTCTTGTAGTCTCTGAAAATCTGTTTAACTTTTCCAGTTTCACTGTAATCAGTGATGATCCAGATCTGAGTCTTTGATAGAACTTGTGAGTTTGTGAAATTTCTTCTAGAAATATTCCCCTGGTAGTTTTATGTTTTATGTCATATGGATAGGGACCTACCCATTTTGTGGATTTTATGACATCTGGCATTGCCTGCACAATCCAGGCAATGCCTGTGAAATCCACAGAATCTGTGAAATCGGCGGGGGGGGACGACACAAAAATGACCGAGCACTGCAGCAGCTCATCGGGGTGGGAAGGGGGAGAGGGGAGAGCTTCCCATCTAATGGGCTGCCAGCAGGATGGCTGCCCCCCCTGCCTCTTGCCACAGATTGGTTGCAATGGCCACTTGTTATGTGGCCCTGCCCCTCTGCCAATCAGCAGCAAGAGGCAGTGCTGCATGATGGACAGTCCTCATAGCCAATCAGCAGTGAGGGAATAGACCACATGACAGGCAGCCCCTGAAGCCAATCAGCAGCAGTGAGAGGGGGCCACTGGGCCCCCTCAGTCAATCATAGGTGTGGGGGGCCTGTTGTGCTCCATCTGTGAGATGGCTGCCCAAACCCATGTTCTACTTGTGAAATCAGGACAGCAGTCCCCACGAATTAGGTAGGTCCCTACATATTGAGGTTTCAAGAGCTGCTCATATTTGCTGGCTCATGTTGCTGATAATTCCTCAGTCACTTATCCCATTCATTTCCCCTTCCAGTCTTGTTTTTCTTTACCCATTATCTGAACTATTCCTGCAATGCAGGGTTGCAGGCCACCAAACGTGATCTGGGGAAAGTCTTCCTTCCACTCTGGAAATCCCCACTTCTCTAAATTTTTCGAACTATTTCTTAGCAGTTGTTATTGACCTTTCACTGTGGAAGAAAGAGCATCTTTCACTTTTTCCTTCTTAGGTAGCCTTGGGCTAATGGATTTGTATGGTATCAAAACAGAAATAGAGAGATTTAAATATCTTGATATTTAAGGAATGTTGTTTGGATTATCAGTCCATGAAAATATCAGTATTACAATGGTTAGTTTCAATTTGGTGTAAGAGAAATTGTCAAGCCTGTAATTCTCACAGTTGGAGGGAGGAGGCAGTTCTTTCATTGTAGCTACAGCTGGATGGAATAAGGCAAACAACATACACATGCTGGGGAATATAAAGGAAGAGAATGAAACAAATACATTGTCTAATATATAAACACTATATGTATTTCTAAAATATCAGTTTTGTAACTGCATCTTATACTGCTTAGCTTCCTGTAAGCTTTGTTGCAGAAAGATTTTTGCACATATCCTCGTCAGTTAATGAGGATATACCATACATAAGTGATTATATTCAAGAAATCACAAATGTTAGGAGGAACAAAGCACGTGTGACCACTGATCTGAAAGCAGGTTTAACAAGCAGAAAGAACAAGAATCATTTAGGGCCTTGAAGGGTAGGCCAAGATGTTGGAACTTAACATTATGGAAATGCAGTGCCTCAGAACACAAGCCCTATCAGTATCATAGGAATGTAGAACTGGAAGGGACGTCACAAGGTCATCTAGTCCAGCCCTCTGCTCAAGGCAGGATCATCCCTGACTAAACCATCCCAGCCAAGTGTCTGTCTAACCTGTGCTTGAAAACTTCCAAGGATGGAGATTCCACAACTTTTCTAGGTTGCCTTTTCCGATGTCTGGCCATTTTAGTTAGAAAGTTCCTTTTTATCTTCGACCTAAATTTTCCCTGCTGCAGCTTGAGGCCATTGCTCTTAATCCTGTCCCAACAACCACAGAGAAGAGCCCACCTCCATCCTCTCTATAATCACCCTTCAGGTATCTGAAGACTGTTATAACATCTCCCCCTCACTCTTCTCTCTTCCAGACTAAATAACCCTTGTTCTTTCAGACTTTCCTCGCAAGTCACAGTCAAGGACGGGGTAAATGTAGGCCTTTTATCTGAGCTGTTTTTGAATGAGGGGAAGCACAAACAATGAAGAGCAACTCTTTAATGTTGTATACCAGGGATGGGCAACATCTGGCCCATGGGCTGGATCGGGCCCACTTTGGACTCCATTTCCCAGCAGCCCCTGCCCATGTCTCTGTTTCTGGTTTCCATGGAGACCCCAGGGGTGGCAGGGCCATGACAGCATGGGGCCAAGGTTTCCATGGAGCCTGGCCCCAGCAGCACTGGCTAGGCGTGCAGCTGGGTAGGGCCTGGGATCTTGTGGTGGTGACACCGTGGTCTAGAGCCAGGGCAGAGCTGCAATCCAGAGCTGGGCAGGGGCATGCAGGCAGTGGATTGCGGCTCTGCCCTGGCTCTGGACTACACTGTCACCTCTGCAAGATCCCAGTCCTAGCCCTGGAGCAGCTCCGTACCCAGCCACATACCTTGCCAGTGCTGTTGGGGCTGGTCTTCATGGAAACCCTGGCCCCATGCTGCCACAGTGCTGCTGCTCCTGAGTTCTCTGCAGAAACAGAGTACAGTGACTTGGGCAAGGGCTGCTGGCAAATGAAGTCTGGCCACCAGCCAGATTCGCCATTTTGCCCACCCCTGTTGTATACAGAGGTGTAACTAGGCATAATAAGCCAGAAGGCAGAAAAAAAGGAATATTTTATGCCAAATATCATACGTAAAACTTTCTGAGAATGAAATATATTAGACTGAGGAATAGTCTTTAAGTGAAGTGGAAGAAGCCCAGTCATTGCAGACATTTTAAACAAGATTAGACAAAGCATAAGAAATTTACTTCATTGAATACTTTTTGTTTGATTGGGAGATAGACTTAGTTAGCCCTATAGTCTTTTTCCACCTATTTCAGAATAATATTATCTAAAGGCTGTCTCCATATAATTACAGAGTAGTGTAGGAATGCTTTTCCCACTAGCAGTAGAGCATCAGTGATTAGTAGTAACTACACCAAGCACCCAAGACTTTTAGATTAGTTCAGCACAATACTTAACAGCTTCTCTGACAAATTCTCTGTGATTGAAACTGGTGGGGATACTAGCAAGCTACAAAATACATCTTGGTAGATTTTTCATCACTGACACCATGGGCAGATCTAGGATTTTGAAAAGTGGGGTGCACATAGTAAAGTGCATCATAACATATAACACAAAACACATTTTTCTCCAGGTAAAAAGAAATTAGAAGCTTTACTAATATGCTTGGGGCTAGGTTTAAATTTTTCAGTTTAAGTTTGATGCAGAAACAAGTATCATTCCATCGTATCTCCTGCGGGCCATGAGATACGAGCTACATTACCGGGAGCAGCTAACGTTCAGCAGAATTGCAGAATAAAGCTTGATTAGTAGACCATCAAGACCACTGAACAGAAGAGAGGGTCAGTAACACATGTGGAATGAAGAGTTTAAAACGGGGCAGGCAACCCGCAGCATGGGTGCCAGATCATGGCACATGAAGGTATTTTGGTTGGCACATGGGCCTTGGGGCAGGA